AACTATTGAAATCTTTCGTCCAAAGGAGGAAACGCTTGAAGAATATAAAGAATGTATCAGACCGCTTACTCTCTTGGAACATAATATACGGAGACTAAGGTTTCTTCACCTACTGCGCGTAGAACTTTAAATGGTGGCAGCGGTGGTAGGGCTGTTTCTAACTGAATTTTTCGGATATCGTTTGTTAGTGGTATTACATCTATCCCATCAAAATGTGAAAAGAAGGAAGGTGTAATGATTTTTGGTTCCACATTTCTGCTCATCGGGTAAACAGATCTGGTTGCTACATTATCTTAAATGAAGTTGGGGTCAAGCGAATACTGCTGGGAAGAGAATGTATTTCTAAAAACGAAGCAGTTGCAGCGTGAGTGGAAGTGGATTTCTTTATGAATTTAGGATTAGATTTCGTAAAGGTGGTTGGCTGCTTACTGTTTTGTGAGGGTTTGTTTTAGAATCGTGCCGTCTTCTGGATGTAGTGCTGCGATGTTGGACGGAGACGGCTTTATATATGGGTGATTGATGAAAATTTGGTAAAAACCTTCACGGTATTTGAATCGCCGTTGTTTTTAATTTCTTTTAATGTGGTTTTAAATGTTGTGCAATACATTATCTCCAATCAAATTTTAAATTCTTAGTTTTTGACTATGTTTTCGGGCTTCAACTTTATCTTTATTTTGTCAAAACTCAGGACTTTAGTTGATGTTTTAAATCTGTTCTGCATAAATTGGTTTTTTAGTTTAAATATGCTTACTTTCCCACTTGACATGGCAGATTTTATCAGCCTCACAGTCCGTATCACTTCACGTAGATTCACTTCTGTTTCAAGTAGATCTGAAAGGTAGAAAATAGAGTTTTTCTAGCATAACTGGAGATTTGTTGGCACACGCTGTATTGTTACAGTCGTCTTTTAGTGGTGCAGTTTTTCTTGGTGATGTCATCTGTTCATTCCTAAACTGTTATAGCGTATGTTCTTTGAGGTATTATAACAGCTACCTCTAATAAATTTATAAGTGGTGCAGAACTGCATATTATTGTTTATAGATTTCAAAATATCTACGTCTTGTTAAGAAGTTTCTATCGACAGCATTGTGAAGAACATCAGTTTTGACACCAACTTCACGCCGGAATCGCTTATCGGCAGTAGCCGCAGGTTCTGGCACAACATTGAGACATACAAGCTGCAGCCAACGGGTTTGTGCATTTCCACATGTACATATAACAGTCCCAGCATCTATCTTGGCAAAAAGGGTTGTATGGAGCGACAGTTGAAACCGCGACTGTAGCAGCGTCTAGAATAACGCCATTTGTAATTAAAGGCTTCCTGTAGATATATTTATCTACGGATCTATGCTAAAGGTTTACAAAGACATTTCGAGAGTGTTGGTTGTGATTTCTTCGTTAATGAATTAATTTATTTTCTTCTAGCGAAACTGTAGGGCAATCTAGTGTAGCTTGTATTAAATTATCAGGAAATGACAAGTTCTAGTAAATGATAAATTAAGCTTACAGCATTGGCCGTTAATGCAGGTATAACCGCCTGGGCAAAATCCATTAACGCATGCTAAAACAGATAAATTTTAACAAATTTTTGAAATTACACATAAAACCATCTTCAAAAAGTTTTATTGAGGTCTGAATATAACTATATGCAAGTACTCGGTGATGGATTTTGGTGAACATATTTAAGGCAAAGCTCAGTTTCCCATTTCTTTTATTTCCAACATAAAGTGTATTGTTCAATTTTTGTAAAGTTGTTTTGTTGCTGCCTCATCATGTTGTTTGAATAATCCAAGTTTTTAAAATTTTTCTAGGCGCATTTGGGACCACTCTTCTATTGCGTAGTGCAACACTTTTTTAGGCGTTGACGATTGGAGACTAGGTCCGTGAAAATCACTGTCATATGATATTGACAAAACAAGAAATTCAGGGCTTGAGTAATAGTGGGAATGAACCGCTGGTTTGAGATTGTTTTCAAAGGCTTTTTTGTGAAAAAGGGAAAAAAAATGATTTTTAAAGAAAGTTTGACTGGAAAACTCACGGCCAAGGATGGTCTGGGCGTTACAAATCCCGGCAAGTAGAGCGAAAGCAACGAATACTGCAGCCCTGCTATACATCCTATAAAAAAGTTCTATTTTTCGGAGCACCGACTACATTCCTGCGAAGATAGGCCGAGTTTTACAAGCAACGCTTTTTGCTGCTACATTACAGTTTGTGATCGTACTATTCAAAAGGTACTTTTACGAAGTAAAAGAGCAGAATATTTTTCTACATCTTCACCTGCACGCTATTTATCGCTGGAAACCTCACTGTAGCTGTGACAGTTCAATCAACGGATATTGGAAAGACGGGTTTTTTGCTGGAACAAATAAAGCTATTGTTTAATTTTTTATGAATAGGGGTTATATGCCTGCTGAAAGGAGAATAAAGCAAAATGACGGAAAGTTGGACGGCAGTTTTTGTAATCGAGTTTTTATAAACTAAACAAATTGAATCTAAACCTTTTATGACTTGAAAGTGTAGTTTGCTTTCAATGGTTCAGTCATTCAATTTATATATTCTCGTTATGTTTGCTTATTTTGAAGCAAAACTTAAGTTGTGTTGACTTTTTTTTTGGAAACAGAGTATCACTAAAACAAATAAATGGCAATTTCATCCAAATAGAGGTATTTTTTTTCTCAAAAATTGCATAAGAAAACAATAGTTTTTTTTTTGCAGAACTGTACACAAATGGAAATTTCTTAGGAATGACGTAACTTAAAAAGTTCTGAGTCATTTCTCCGCGTAAATTTTTACAAAAACAGCTTCCATGCCTTGCCTCATTTTAACGTGCTTTTTTCTGCACTGACACTTCTGAAGCCAGAGTGAAACAACTGTTACAGTTTCTCGATGTTTTGAAAAAAACATTCTTTCAAAGCTTACAGAATTTCTCAAGAGAATTGTGTTATAACTTATCAAATGATAGCCGCTTGAAGATTGCGCATATTAGCACCTAATGATCGTAGAGTCAAAGCAAATAATCATTGGAAAAAAGTGTAAAGGTATAAAAGATGTTTAAATTTACGATTTATACAATTTGAAAAATTAAATAGCTTTAAATTTTAACTGTTATTATTTGTAAAGCTGCCTAACAAAAATCTTCGACAACTATGAAAATCTGTTTTCATCACAGGTCTACAAACACGCAAAGGTCTATTTAATGACCAATTGAGCACAAACAACAGACATTGTTAACTTATCTCAGAAGATCGGTATGGTTTCTGAACTTGCTGTGTGATGGTTTTACTTCATGTTTACAAAAGTCTAATGCTTTTCTGACTTCAAATTCTAGTCCAAAATGGGACTTTTGAGCGCTATCAAAAAGCTTCCCTTGAGCTGTTAAAATCTGCATGGCTGCAAGTTTTATGTATGTTGATGTCCAAAATACTGTTGTCAAAAAAGTGTTCTTGAAAGTTGCACTTTCTAAATGTGCATTTGTTAAAAGAAGGAAAGATAGGAATAGTATGTTTATTTAATTTTACAGAAAATTATAGATTCTCAGATACTAAACAGAGTTGAGTTTAAGTTTGACACTGTCCCTGAAAAGTGAAGCTTATTTTGAAATGCTCAAATTTCTTAAAGTCGCGGCTTTGTTTTTCTGTGTAATGCTTGATTCCAATAGACCAGATAAGGAATTCAGAAGGCTATGTGGGCAAAAACGTTTTTATTCATTGTGGTTCTCCAGTTGGTCTATAACGTCAAGAACAGTTGCGGTGCTAGAGTTCAGATTTATGGAACTTCGATTGGACGTAATGTTTACAAAAATCTATCAACTTTCTAATAAATACTAAAGTTTGTGCGCTTAAACTGTAGAAGCTTTTCGAGTAATCGTGTGCAGTTAATAGTAGTTCTTTTGCCAAAAGTTGAATAATTTTTTATAAGACAGGTACCTTCTTGCTTAGCTGCTTAATGCTTGTTTTCAGCTTGTGTCGATAATGAATGTCCGGATGGATACATGTGTATCAACGACGTTTGTGGTATGATTTGACTAATACACTTTTTAGCTTAAAATAGCTTTATGTTGAAAAAAAGTAACTAAAATTTTTTCTTCCATGATCAAACTAACAAAATGAAAGCAATTTTAGTTGGTTTGAGCTTAAAATATTTATAAAACTGTTAATAGTTTAATAAATTCTCGGCCCTAAGCGGGTCTCAAAAAATGATTATTGGTAATGACAGTATCAATTGCAGTAAAAGGATGCTATGATACTTGCTGCGATTGCCATTGCAATTTGAACAAATGTGATAACCCCTTTTATGCGAAAAGAATGCAGTGCTGCAACAGAAGCTGTGGAAAGTGTAACAACAAAAAAAATAATAATTAAAGTAATCAGTTGTTATGTTAAAGATGGTGATCAATTAGAACAGAAGATTAAAGTAATAAACATGTAGTGGTATTTCTGTGACTGGTAAGCAGAGAGTATCAACAAATTCTAGCAAGCAATACTTTTCAGAGAATTCAAATCATTTCAGATGTTTTTCCCTAGTAACTTAATTTTTGAAATAGACCACTTTTCCTCAAAAGCAAAACTTTGACAATAAACTTAAAAAAATTAGAAATTATGTTGCAGATATTAACGATCAAAA